TACTTAAAAATAAATATTTATTCTTGACTCTTAGAACTTCAATTAGTGAATGAAAATAATATACTTTAAGTGATTAATAAAATGAAATAACTTGTCTGTTAATTTACAATACTCCAAGTATTGATTGAGCTAATCCTTTAATTTGCTTATGCTTTTTAAAAGAAACTTCAATTATTAAAAGCCATCAATCACTAATTGAATACAAAATACTGAGATCATAAAAACCCCATCCAAAATATTATAGAATCTGGCTTGAAAAATATATTAATTCAAATTCACATTTTATTATTGTAATATTAAATAACGTAAAAGAGATGCTATTGTAATTATTAATTCAATTTAATTAATTAAAACAAGCACGTACTATTACTTCACTAAATAACTATTTAACATACTCTAATTTATCCTTTAATGGAATAAAGAAGATGAAAAATAGACTCATAGAGGTTGATAGAAGAGTAATGCTAACAGTTTGAAAAGTTGGAAACTCATATATGAAAATTATTAAAAACATATAGGTAAGTTTTTTGATTAGAAGTATTTTATTAAGATATTTTGCAATTGCTTAGATGAAGAATAAAGAAATCAAAACTGTAATAATTGTTTCAACTATAACAATGATATTAAGTTATCACCTGCTACTTTCGTGGGTATCTTCTTTAATTGTTGTGTTTTCAGTATTTGATCAATAATTCCTGATAAATCGAAAATCTTTTAAATAAAGTTAAATTAAGCATATCCTAAAAGTTGAAAGTAGGTTTATAAATTATAACACTGATAACCAAATATTATCCCAATAAAGTGGAAAATATAGGTGTTACTATTGGGTGCTATTTAGACTTGAGCAATGGTGACATCATCAATGTATGTCACTTTTGGTTTAAGACAAGACACTTCTGTTTCAATCTGGGAGTATCTTTCATTTGAAAAAATGACTGAATTATTTAAGAATTTGATCAATAGGATTTTATCTTGTGAACTTCTTGAGCAAGTAATATTAATCATCAAAATTAAATGAGATGAATTAAACTCATTTATCTAAGAAGTATTTTGAGTGAGATTAATAGATTGATTCATTTATTAAACATTTTATTTTCTCTATATATGAAAATATAGATCGTCTTTAATTTGAAAATCATCACTTATAATGATGGAAATAGTGTATGATAATTGAAATAATCTGGTAGCAAAGTAAATTTATGAAGTTCCTACACTCTAAAATAATGGTTTTGGAAAATTTGATATGATAAGATTTAAATGTTCAATCTATTAATACTTAAACCATTTAGTAACATATTCTTATTACTATTTTCGATTAATCGTCACATTCATCATCTTTAACAAGATTTCCATCATCAAATTTCTCTTTCTTTCTATAATGTAATCTCCATATATGTTTAAAAATATTCAAAGGTAATGTTTATGATTCTTCTATTGTGGAAACTTACAACTTATAAAATTAAAAGCTCAATCAACATTTAAAACAATCATTTTTTATCTAAGAATTATCCAACTTTGCATTTAAGACATACGATTTTTTTATTAAAGGATTCAATTAGCATTTTATCTATTTAGTTGAACATTAAAAAAAATTGATTACTTTATTATTTCATTAGAACAAGTGTAGTTAAAGATCAATCTTATAATTAGAATAACCATCTCTATTTACATCATTTCCATCATCACTTTCTTCTCCATAAGTCCAAATTTAATCTTTGCAATCTTAATATTTACAACTTACTTAAGATTTCCCCAATTAATTTAAACATGAAATACAAACTCCATCTTCACTTTCAAAATATTTTAACCACATAAACATATATTATTTACTAAAATACGATGTATTCTTCAATCACAACTCAGAAAATTATATTGATTGTCATCACAAGTTAAACATGATTAAAATATTAAGAACAATTATTTTAATTCCAGAAGTACCCTGAATTGCAATTACATTAAAAAACAAATCTAATCATAAATTAGATATAGATTATGGAGATGAATATTTTATTTACTTTTTCACTTAATTGATTAGTATAATCATGTATTTCAAAAAAAAGAGAAAAAATAAATAATTAAGTTACTTCTCACTTTAACAGAACACATTCTTAACATATTGTTTAATTTAAACATGTTTTACATGGGTCTCCACATCTATAACATTATTTCTATTATTCATAGTATCCAACTTAAAAGATAGATTTACTATTTGAATTTGAATCTAAAAGTAAGGCATTTTTCAGATATTTCATTACAAGTTAAACAATTTTTAGTTACATAGTTCACTATTCTAATTCACAAGGTAATATCCATCTAAACATACATCACAACTAAATGAATTGCCACAAATATTACAAGAAGCAATACATGCCTTACATAATCTAGTTTCATTAATAAAGTATCCCTCTTAACAAATTTCACAATTTATTTGATTATAGCAAACATCACTATGATCAATACTTTTAAACATTTATTAACATTGGACAAATAGAATCTTTTATACAATTATTACAGTTATATATTCCTTAAAAATAGTATTCACAAGCTCTTCTTTACATAAACATTTATAACCTATGATTGATTATCTAATTAGGATCCACACAAGTTACACATTCATTAAGAGTATTGATGCATGTAGAACATGGAATTTAACATTGAAGATACTAATCACTTTATTAAAGATATCCAGATTTACAAATACAACATTTATTGAGAACTAGGATTTGATTTATATCTATGCAGTTGATAAATCCATTCATAACATGGTTCTTAACACTTTGCAAATGTAATGAGACTATCTGAATAATAAGTGGATTGCAAACACATTATGATATGTTATAAAGTTCATAATTAGTATCTAAACATGTTAAGCATCTATTATTATTATCGTATTCTATTTATTATCTATAATTATCTCACAAGTTTTATATGGCTATTGACAAGTTATGCAAAAGTAATTATCATCAAATATCCATCCAGACTCACATTGACAAGACTCAGCTTATTAATTTATTTGATCTTTACAAGTAACACAATTATTTATTGTATCTACAAAATCTAAACTTGACAATTAACATTTGATGCATGTGATACCATCAGTATCTAAAATCCAACATGTTTTACATAATCACAAAATGAATTATTTACTATTGAATTACTATCAACACAAAATAAACAGTGATTTTCATTCTATACTCAAGTTTAAATTAGAATTATGCATTCTTAAAATTTTTGAGAATCAATTTAAAAATCAACATATGAACATTCACATTTTTATTACATATTCTAACTGATGCAAAAGTAGAGATGTAATCCTCATCTTTACTTTTTTGATTATAGTATAAAAATTTAAGGGAAATTTATAGAAAATCAATAATTAAAAAAAAGTAAATGAATTGCACTCGCCATATTCATTTTCCAATAACATCCATATGTATTGCCCCTCACTAATGTTAATGCTTAAGGAAACTTTGCAATGATTGCCAATAGGAACACGGAGTTGATATTAGATACATAATTCCTACTCATAGATTTCAAGATCTGGTTATAAAGTAATTATAAGATTCCACGATTGATGAAAATTCTGAATTCACAGAATAAAGAAAGAATTTTTTAATGATTCTCTCTCAAACTGAAAGCATGCTGAAAAATACATGGCAACATTTATAGGAATCAATTAAATAAATATATGATTCAATTAAGATGCAGGATAAATCATATTTGAAAATCATGAACAAAGATTTCAATCCTACAGATTTGTCAAATACGGACTTAGAGAAATTAATATAAATTGTATAAGGAAAAACTTTAGATGAATGGAAAGCTTAGAAGGATTCTTATTTGTAGAAATTATAAAAGGTAAAGGATTGGTGGGAGAAAGAAATTAAGACTTTTCAAGAAAAGTTGATGAAAGAAATGGACGAAAATTTGTCATTAAATTTTTAAGTAAAATAATAACAAAATGAATTGAAATCTCAATCATAATTCAATCTTAAATCATTTAGTTATGAGATAATTTAAGCTAATTCTATTGAATAATAAGAATTTTGTGCTGCAGTTGCTATTAATAAAGATTGTTCAATTGTAGCGGCTGGTTGTAATAAACTAATTAAAATATATGATTTCAAATAAGGAATGTTGAAATAAAATCAAGTTTTAAAAGAACATAAAAGCGAGGTAACCACTTTAAATTTTATGAAATAATCAAATTAATTGATTTCTGGAGATTATGGATCTATTTTAATTTGGTCATATAATAATAATAATTCATGGATTTGTTCATAAATTATTAAAGGTCATAGTGATTGGATTAAATGCATAATTTTGAATAATAATGAAGATCTTTTTCTATCCAGTAGTAATGATAAAACTATTAAGTTTTGGGTTAAAAAGAATGAATGGATCTGTTAATAAACAATTAACGATCATAGTAATTGCGTTTATCAATTAAGTTTAAATGAATAACAAAATCAAGTTATATCTTGTGGATAAGATAGTTTGATATTAGTAATTGAGTAATCATAACCTAATAAAAATTGGGTTGTAAAATAAAAAATACAAGTAGATTGTTATGGATTTCGATTATGCTTTATCAATGATAATCTATTCACATTTCAACCTAATAATGGCAATTTGATATATGTTTATGAGTTGAATAGTGAATGTGAACATTTCATTAAATCAAAAGATATTACTATAAATCAAGGTAATGAAAGTTGTGTATTATTTCCATAATAATTTATTAAATAAAAATAATTACTTGTGAATAAACATGTAAACTCTATAAATTTAATAAGATTTACAGAAAATTCTTAATTTAAAGTTGAGTAATCTATTCAATTTGGCACAAATGATATATTTGGATAATTAAGTGATGATGGAGAATATTTGATTACTTGGGATTAGACATCAGATGAAATATAAATAAGAAGATTTAAAGAATAATGAGATAATTATTATATTAAATATAAATCTAAAAGTTAATATTATCTTATTTATTATTTTTTATCTGAATTTTCTCTTTCGCTAATATTATAATTATAAGTCATAAAACCAATTTGTTTCAACATTAAATATTTCAGAATAAAAGATACTTACTTTAAGCAAAAACAATTCATTTGAAAGAAGTATTTCTAAAATAGTGCTTATATGGTCATTAAATTTCTCAATTCATTTCATTTTTTGGTTATATAAATCTCAGATTTATAAATAAAATATTGATTATTATATATTCCTATCTTATTTGTTAGATTTCTTAATTCAATTAATTCTTAAAAATTAATTGGTATAATATAAACTATTGGAGTAAAAACGTTTTCTATTATTAAATTTTTATCTATCAGTAAAATAATATTAACCAATCTTTATCTGTTTATAAGCTTAATACATCCAAGAGGATAGCTTAGTATTTTAACAGGCTGGGGAATCTGAAAGCCCTTGTTACATGACTGGAAGGCGTAAAAGATAGTTTCTTTGTTTACCCTGAAAATGATGTCATTTTAAGTTCAAGTCAACAATAATTAAGAAGTCTGCAACTTTCTAAAGAGTCAAAATCTATATATAAAATTATGGCTGGGCGACCAAATGATCAGAGTCTTTGATTATAAAATTATGTGGGGATAAGAATTTATGTTGTATTCTAGAACAGAATCCTTGCATATTTTCACAATATTAAATAATTGAGATGGAATAATGTTATTTTATGGAGACGCAAATAAAAAATGTATTAAATATTTGATATTCACAGAAATCAAATTATTTTCAACTTTTGGATAAATCAATAATAGAAAGCTTATTATTAGGTTCTTCCGAAGAATTAATCTTTTTTTATTTGATATCCATTTCTTTGTACATTTTCATCTGACTGCTCACTAGTTTTATTTCATCAATCTTAGGATGTTATTTGATTATATCATTTATGATTTAAACGAAATTTTGAGCAAAATTTGATCATTAGAACTATTAAAAAAAATTTATCCATATTAGTAAATAATATTAATATATGATTAAAATATTATTATAACTCAAATATAAAATAGATAAACATTTTGATATTTGTAACATAATCTTTTTCATATTTATTAACCAGTTTATGCTTGCCTATGTTTCAAGATCTTTAAATCTTCAATAATCATATTTATTAGGTATATATTACAAGGATTACTATAAGTGATATTCTTTTGATTTTTTCAAATACTCCATTTCATTCTATATCATCTTAAGTTTTTATGATTGCAATCACTCATCTTCTCATTCTATTTTTATAAGAATGAATTCTTTAAATAAGCATTGTATAATTATGAGCTCAATAAATTCTTGGTGCACTTAAGGTAAAGTTTCAACTTTTTTATGGAATGAATATATAAACAAATAAATTATATCTACTAAGGTTTAGCAAAATTCATTTAGATCAGATTCTAACATTTGTGAAAGTAATTTGTGCTTTGACCTTATCCTTATTCACTAATAGGAAGACACAATAAATAAACATTTGAATATTAGTAACAAAAGAGTAATAGGAAGTAAGCTATAATTTTTAAACTTTATTGGATGGAAAAGTTAGAGAGTTAGGTATGTGAATGTGGAAAGATGATATTAACAGGAAAACTTCTTAAAATAGATCAAAAGGAAATTGTTAGAAATATTATGATCTTTATACTTCAATCCAATTCCTCTAAAATCATATTCGGGATATTTAAGAAATCAAATATCTTAATATAATCAAAATTATGAAAATATTTAAAATAAACTTAGGGAAGAAAAATTAATAATAGAGTATAAGTATTTTACTTTTCAATGAAATAGTTCAAGATATCGCTGAAACTGGAAAGATAATGCATAATCCTAGAAATCAATATTTTTCCATCCTAAGTCCAAAAAGTAAAATGGTCCGAAGAAATAATAATTTCAAGGTACATAAATCTTATTAAATGGAAATGATAATCTTTATTCTAAAGAATACTTAACCATTCTTTCAATCTAGCTTATCATGCATTAATTTGAATTTCCTATTTGTATGTATAAATCAACTTAAGGGTTTAGTTTATTAAAAATTACTGAAATGATAAATTTAGCCTTATAATTGATATGATACTTTATTCAACTATTTAATGAAGTGTGTGATACAAAAAAAATAAAACTAATATAAAATTCATAGAAATTGTTATTAACATGGTAATTGAGAATAATTGTAGGAGTTTAAAACAATCTCATTAAATTAAAACAAAAAATTTAAGTGCTCCTAAATCTTCATGGTCTTCGACCGGCTACAGGGCCATCAAGCATAGGCAACCCATTAAGGAAGGTGCTGAAATAGATTCCTCATGTCCATGGTT